GACTAAGGTATTCTTTTCTAAATCGTTGTCTCAGATCATTTAACAATTTAGTTCTACTTTAATCTCTTATTAAGACTTGACGAATTTAATTCATCAAGATCTTCAACATTGGAATTTCTGTTCTCGATAAGAAACATGGCGGGTGTCAGAGGTACTAATTCTTGCGGATCTTCAGAAACATAAGTTAAGGGTCTAGAATTAATTATAGTTTCACAATCACAAATAATAGTACAAAGTTCTTCATATGATAACACTGATTTACCTAAAGTACGTTTTCAGCAATTCTTTTACTGTACGAACCAACCTCTCCCACCAGCCCCCACCAAGCTGCAGTAGGTGGAATAAAATTTCCAGATTATCCTTTCAGTTCCCGTTTCCTTTAATACTTTAGCCCAATTTAGTTTTGATAAATCATTAGATGCACCCCGAAAATTTGTCCCGTTATCACTATAGATTATTCTAGGGCGTCCGCGCCTAGCAACAAATCGTCGAAGCGCCAGGAGAAACGCATCAGTAGAAAGAGAATTTACGAGTTCAAGGTGAATGGCACGGTACACAGCGCGATCCACACCTTTCCTCCATTTTTTAAAAACAGCGGTCCGGCCAAATCAATCCCTATGATTTCAAATGGCGCACAATCCGTAACTCGGTCTGGTGGCAGAGGTGTCGGTTCGCTTGACATAGCCTTAGTTTTAAATCTTTTACAAACGATACAGTTAAAGAGGACATTTTTAATGGCCTTTCTAGCTCTGACTATCCAAAATCTTTCTCGTAATATGCATTGCATCATCTGAAGACCAGCATGACAGTTCTTATTATGCACATTTCTGATTAATAACTTAGTGAAATCACATTTTTCTGGTAACAGTATTGGATACAGAAAAGATTCATGGTCATCTCTATTTAGTATTCTCGTTTTAACTCTTAGAATACCATCATCATCAATGAGCGTTTCAATAAAATTATAAGATTTCTTATCAGTCAGATAATAATTTTGAACCAAACGAATTAAAATTTTTCTCAGAATTTTCAATTTCATACTGTGAAAGTTCAATGTTTCCTATTCTTTTCAGAACCACCTTTACTTTACAAATCTAAATATCCATGCAAATACTCTAATCATTTTATCATAATTGGATACACTGATTCGATGCCAAGGGGGTGCGTCTTTTGATAGATCAATATTCACTATTTTTATCTTTTTCCTCTCCAATTCTACTTCTTCATGCAAACAAATAATCTCACCAGTGGGCCAGTTTTCAGGGCCTTCTCGCAACCACAAGGGGCCTTCCCACCATCTAGACCGAAGCATTTGCTTCGCAAAACATCCGCGCGATAACAAGTCGGCAATATTCAGTTTCCCTGGGACATGTCTCCATGAATGACCTCGCGTCAACTCTCGAATCTCTTTAACCCTATTTTCGAGAAAACGGACCAATTTCCTTGCTCTGTTATCCACCAAAGGGCAGTGGTTGAATCAGACCAGAAGGTAACTTTTAAATCGGGCAAACTGAGAGCCTTGATAATAGAATTTGCAAGTCTAGAACCTATACAACAGGCCATTAATTCTAAGCGAGGAATGCTTAAAGATTTCAAAGGCGATACTCTAGACTTCGCCCGTACGAGATTTATTTTTACTTCAGAATTAAATACTGATCGAACAAAGACGCACGCTGCATACGCCCCCTTGCAAGCATCCACAAATACATGTAGTTCAGACGTGTCATTGATAAACAAGTATCGAGGCAAAGTAACATCTTTCAAAACATTAAGTTCTTTAAACCAGTTCAAAAATGTCTTTACATCATTTGGAGACAATTCATCATTCCATGCAATTTTCACTTTCCACAATTTTTGCAACAGCAGTTTTGGAAGCAATGTAGTTGGCGTTAATAAACCAATAGGATCAAAAATTGTCTGCACAATTGCCAAAATTGTCCTCTTTGTGATTTTCGTATCACAGGTCAATGTATCTGTATCTGTGCAGCACCTAAACGTATCATTATCCAAATTACCCCCAAAATGGAAGTATCCCCTGAATGATTGTCAACATTTGTACCAGCCACATTGCTTTCAAAACCGTGCAGGTTAAAACATCCATTTGACATGATTAATTTGGAATGTTCAATAAACATAAACTGTTCATCAATACTAAAAACACTAGATAAACAATTATCCACATAAAATGACGATTTCAATTTTTGAGCAACTTCACTATATTGACGTGGACAGTTTTCTAATAGATGCGTTCAACAAGTAGGGGCTGGAAGAAACTCCAAACACAACTCTGCAATGCCTATAAATTAATTGCCCTTCCTTGCATGGGAAAAAAAAATCTGAGAAAATCTCTATCTTTAGATGCGACGGATAACATTAAAAAAGCTTTTTCAATATCGGCACTAATACCAATCGGATACATTCTAAAACGATCTATAATATCAGGTATTAATTCAATAAGATTTATTCCTTTACACAAACATTCGTTCAAAGAGAGTTTCCCTTTCTCAGATGCAGAAGCGTCAAAAACAGGACGAATTTTCGTGGTTTCACTTCCTAATTTGATTACAGGCCTATGCGGCAAATAATGACATTCATTATTCAGTTCGTTTTCTGGTACGCGTTCAATAATATTCAACCTTTCCCATTCCTTGAACACATTTTGATAATCATCGAAAAATTTACTACATCTGAGTTTATAGATCATCTTTTGATACCTTTTCCAGGATAATTCTTTATTATCGGTTAAATGTGTCGTATCACATTTCCACGGAAGTTCTACTTCATATCTTCCATCTGGAAGAATTTTCATTTTGTTCTCAAATTCAGATAAATTAAAACTTTCATTCATTTTAACAGTTTCGTTTGGAGCGCATATTCCTATTTTTTCAAGTTCCCATAACTCATTCAGAGGAATTCTCCTGACATGCATTGAAAATGTTTTCAAAATATTATCCTTTTCACCCGAATTTCGTTTTCCAAATACCGTCCACCCAAGTTTCGTTTCGACAGCCGTTACCCCGGACTGTAATTCAATAGAATTTCCCGTCAATAATTTTCCTATAACATCTGCTCCGATTAAAAGGTTAATTTCAATTTCCTTTCGCAATGGATCAGAAAATTCGATTTCTTTTTCTTTTAATTCATTCAAAATCTTTATCCTTAACCTTAGGAATAAAACCGCAAATCCTTTTTTCAGAAAGTGCTTCAAAACTACATGCAAACGTTCCTTTTAAATTGCTGACCTCGACCGAAAACACTTCATGTTGTTTAGGTTTCGTTTCGTCCCCCCCAAACAGTGCATGTATAACTGTCTCCTCCCGAAGTGGAGATGCTTTAAGCTGACTCATCATACTTTCACTAACGTAGCTACTTTGGCTTCCGCTATCAATTATGCAGCGAATAATTTTCTCGCGACCTTGACACCGAATTCGAACGCAAAGCGTTTGCAAAAATACAGTTTCGCTTCTGCCACAGTTAGAAAGAGAACTCTCTTTTGAAACATTTAACACGTATCTGATCATTATTTTTTAGCTTTTGATTACACATTACATCAAAATGATTACAACTTTTGCAAATAGAACAACTTAACTTACCTTTCAAAGGACAAAATTTACTAATGTGACTCGCTCTTTTCAGACAAGAAAAACAAGCACCTTTTTTCAACAACAATTGTTGTTTTTTCAGCTAAAGTCATTTTTTTTTTTTTTTTTTTTTTTTTTTTTTTGCAGAGTAACATTTTTCACTAAAATGTTTCTTTTCACAAAAATTACAGTTCGGAACACTCTTACCTGAATTCTCAAGACTTACTAGAGCTGATGCTGTTACGGGTTCATTTTGCTTTACCTGTTCGTGGTTAAAGTCTTTCTTCCGATGGTTCTGTTGGGAAGCGAAACCAGTTCTTGCGAGATGAACCATCTCTTCTCCCTTGACTTCCTGTTTTAAGAAATTCATTAAATGTTGCAAAGATCGAGTCCCTTTAGTTTCAATGGAGTCGTGATTTCTGCTTCTTTCCCATGCCATCAATACTTCTTCTGGTAAGCAACTTTCCACTAAGGGGGTCAAAAAATCCCCATATTTTTCTTGGGTTCTCCCCAAACTTTCCAACGCTCGCAATTTTCCTTCTAGTTCATCATACAGGGAGGGTAGATCAGTTTTTGCTCTTCCGGTTACAGCGTTCTTCATCACTAGGCTTAACAAGTCTCTCACATAGATTTGCACAAGTAAATCTTCGCGTCCAAAGCGCTCTCTTAGTTGTTCGATGGCTTTAGGATAATTAGCTGCCGTTGCCGGGAAGCTAAGGACTAGGCGTTCTGCTTTCGATTTGGGTTCCATGGCCTGCAATAGATACTGCATTTTATCTTCATCCGCGATACTTTTGTCGTCGTGGATTTTCTGGAACTGACTCCAAAAAGTCAGGTAATCTTTAGCTTCACCACTGAATTTTTTAAGCTCAATTTTAGGCAATTTAAATTTCCTAGATTCGGAGTTAGTTGGAAGGAGAGGAGGCTTGTATTTCAGCATCTATTTGAGCACACTGTTCTAGAAACTTATCTCGGTAATCCTCCGCTTCTTAAAAATCATCACTAAATAATTTTTCTCCATCTTCAGTTTGCAAAATCTGCAGCGATATAGCACTCTGGCATACGTCAAGTCTCTGGAATTTATCGTAAAGTTGACACTTCAAAATCGAAAGTATTTTTAAATCTCTTACTTCTTTAGTTAATTCACTTTCGGTTTTCCTTGAGGTTTGCGAAAACGCAATTCTAAGTCCTCTTCTTTGGGCCTTCAAAGCGATCAAATCCATCTTCAAAGTATATTCAAAATTGAAATTCAATATCAAAAGTTCAATCGGAAAATTCTTATTCATAGCACCCGGTTCCGCCGAGGGTACCACTATGTTACGAAGAACACAGAAAATATATAAATCAAATATATTCAAAACAGTTCGTTCAGTTGCGGGATGCCTCTATCCGAGGTTGGGTGCATTATGAATAAAGACAAAAAATTCTTAATAAGTCATTCTTTATTTTCATCAAAACAGTATCACTCTTCCGAGATCAGCTTTCGTCTCGTCTACAAGCAAACATTCGAAAACACTCAGCACGCAGGCTGACGTCACAAACAGCAGCGCCTTGCGCCGGTTATTACTTCAGTTGATTTCACAACACTGCTTTAACAGCCGGGAAGCACTTCAACTTTTGACTCAACACTATCTGCTTTGAAAACGTGAGAATTCGCCGTATACTCGAAATGTCTTTTCACGCTATTCGCAGTGTAATAAATTTCTCTAAAACTTTGTCTAGTAGTAAGGCACTTCTTTCGAAATCTTTATCGAAGTCGCTGTTTTATGCTGGCGGTATAAACACAAGAACACTGTCGAGATCTTTGTTCTGTTTAAGCCGAAACCGGGATTCTGATCTCGGACGAATCACATCTAAAGTAACATCGTGGTCTAATACGTGTGGTTGTGGATGCTCACTTCACACTAAAGGTAAGGAAATGTTTTTTTTTTTTTTTTTTTTTTTTTCTTTTTAAGCCGAAAACCGGGATTCTGATCTCGGACGAATCACATCTAAAATAATCGTGGTCTACCACGTGTGGTTGTGGATGCTCATTTCTCACTAAAAGTAAGAAAATGAAAGCTTGAAAAGTGAGTTTATGATTCGGTAGTAGCTAATTTTGTGTGATAGTTTATTAACCTTTAACTGTTGCGACAATTTTTTCGGCGTAATTACTGTGTGTTAATGTCTGTGAGCGATCTTGCAGACCCCCTTTAAGAAACGCGTAGAAATATATACTTTTATGCATTTTTAAGGAATGTTATAGATACTTTATGCATATTTATGGAATTCTAATTCATTTAAATCAATATATTTTAAACATAAATAATTTAAGGGTTTTCATCCGTAGAGAACCCGTTGGCGCCGTTGCGTTTTTACTCGCCAAGCTCGCGGTTAATACGGAGTTTAATTCATATAAAAAAAGGGGAAAGTGCAGAATCGCCCACTGCATGGCGCGTTTTTAAGGATTGCACATACTCAATATCCATGTACACGTTGATCTATTTTCATTTAAAACAACATCCCATAATTGCACAAAAATGGCACTGCACACATTCTTGACTTTATACATGTACACATCGAGCTATTTTCAGTTAAAAAGTAAAAGAAAATTGAGAAAAATGCAATTCTTGCTCTTGTAAAAAGCACCAAAGAAATAAGTGGGCGATTCTGCACTTTAGCCCCCAAAATAACCATTTTCTTCCTTTTAAGAAACAAAGCTTTTCAAGAACAAAAATTTTATGAAACATGCATGAAAATATGGGAACAGCTTTAGTATTGGTCCTTCTGGCGATTTTTTGATTTGGCGACAAACTTCGGTCGCCAATGTATACCGGCTTTCAAGATCGGAAAAAAATGGCGGATTGTCAACAAAATCCGATCTAGACTAAATACTAACTGCACTAGACTAACTGTACATCTAAACATTATGAGAGAATAAAAGTATATCTTAACTTAATAAGAATATATCTAAACTTTATAATAATAACATTTAAAGACATTGAAATCAGTACCTAAGTGCTTGCCATGTAGTCAAATTTGGTTGATCTTTACATTACGGTAACTTGGCGATTTTTTGGCGAAAATTTGGCGACCAACTCCCCTACAGCAACCCTCTATTTTTTTTCCCCGCCGCCATTTTGTCTTCACGAAGTAAAGACATGTTTCTATTCTTCTTATCTACTGAACACTTCTTCCAACAATCTACTAGCCGAATTACACTTATGCTAGTAATTTTATCAAACAAAACTGCTTAATCATGACAAATATTCACTGCAAAATTCGGAAAAAGTGCACAATACCATACACCTTACGCGTTTTTCAAAATAACACATACACATAAACCATGTACACGCCGACTTATTTTTACTTAAAAAACATCCCAGAATTGCACAAAAATGGCATTGCGCACACTCTTCACTATATCCATGTACACTGCTTTTTTTCTCATAAATTAGAAAAATTTCACGAAAATACATGACAATTTTCTCAATCTTTAAACCCGGTAAAATGAACATATATGAAATTACCTGATCGCGAAAAAGTATTTACCCTTTACAAATATGAACATTTCCACATATAAAATAAATAAAATATCCAAAAACTTTTACCTCTAAATCATCTATTACATTATACACATCACCAACGAATTCATACATGAAGCATTACAAATATTTAGTATCAAATATTTAAATTATTTCCATGCACGTTTATTTCAACTTAAACGTAAACCAAATTCCTACAAGCATAAAATTCACAAAATAACTATCATTTCATTAAAATATCACTGAACCATGTACACGTCGACTTATTTTTACTTAAAAAAACATCCCAGAATTGCACAAAAATGGCATTGCGCACACTCTTCACTATATCCATGTACACTGCTTTTTTCTCATAAATTAGAAAAATTTCACGAAAATACATGACAATTTTCTCAATCTTTAAACCCGGTAAAATGAACATATATGAAATTACCTGATCGCGAAAAAAAAAAGTATTTACCCTTTACAAATATGAACATTTCCACATATAAAATAAATAAAATATCCAAAAACTTTTACCTCTAAATCATCTATTACATTATACACATCACCAACGAATTCATACATGAAGCATTACAAATATTTAGTATCAAATATTTAAATTATTTCCATGCACGTTTATTTCAACTTAAACGTAAACCAAATTCCTACAAGCATAAAATTCACAAAATAACTATCATTTCATTAAAATATCACTGAACCATGTACACGTCGACTTATTTTTACTTAAAAAACATCCCAGAATTGCACAAAAATGGCATTCCGCACACTCTTCACTATATCCATGTACACTGCTTTTATCTCATAAATTAAAAAAATTTCACGAAAATACATGACAATTTTCTCAATCTTTAAACCCGGTAAAAAGAACATATATGAAATTACCTGATCGTGAAAAAGTATCTACCCTTTCCAAGGATGAACATTTCCACATATAAAATAAATAAAATATCCAAAAACTTTTACCTCTAAATCATCTATTACATTATACACGTCACCAACGAATTCATACATGAAGCATTACAAATATTTATTATCAAATATTTAAATTATTTCCATGCACATTTATTTCAACTTAAACATACACCAAATTCCTACAAGTATAAAATTCACAAAATAACTATCATTTCATTAAAATATAATTAAATTCAAAAAACACCACTTAAAATATACATGAGCACATACATTCAATTAATAAAAAATTACCTTACAATCCTAATTACTTTAAACTAAATCATTGCTAATAACAATTTTCCCAATAATACCAAATTCCTTTCCACCTTACATTTCCAAACAATGCATAAAAATAATTAAAAAAATACTAACTTACCTAATCTCCTTCAGAATCTTCATTATGTGGCGGATACACTTTTCTTCATTTCTTTCAGAATCTTTAAAATCATACTTATTCAAAGCAAGATACCAGGTAAAATAAATAACATAATAAAACATGTTTATTTCTCTCTCACACAACCTTAAAAAACATTTCTTACTATCCTTTTCAATACCACTAAATACCCATTTCGAATTCACTTTACTTACGGCCATGGGATCCAAAAATTCACAAACACTATTTCACACAACACAGAATAAAGCCAAATACAAAATTTCCAGATTTTTTCCCGATTTCCCCCCTTTTCCGATTAAAGAACCGTAATTCGTCCATTAATATCACATGGCATATCCCATGATCTCTCATTTCCCCCACACAAAATATGCGTAATCGGAACTCAGTACTGCTCACATTATTACCAAAGTCCCAGGTAGTAACCTTTATCGCCTCCAAAATGTCGCCAAACTACCAGTTACCGTAATGTAAAGATCAACCTCAAATTTTTATATATAAATTGTACTCTTACTTTTATTATAGAGTTTTTATTACAAAAAATCCAGATTTCTGTTAGATAAAATGTTTAAGTAATGTAGAAAATTGGCATAAAATTTAAAATAAAAAGTCGACTGTTATGTCAACATACTATTAATAAAAATAATAATACTCAGTGAAGGTTATTCATATACAGCTATTATTAGGTTGTAAGATTTACAAAATTTGAGAACTGTAAATTATAAGCAATTTATTCCATAATCTAAGCAACATTATATTTTTTATAGTCAGTCAAATTATAAAAATGCTATAAAAGCAATAATTTTGGTCCTGATTTGAACCTATGAATTCATGCAATTACACATCCCTATAGTTCTAATATGAGGCAAAAAAGTATTTTTAGACCATGGTAATTTTGATCTCCTTAGCAAAGGAAACACAAAGAGTTTACCTTATGCTACTCAAAATGTGGTTTTTTTTCCTTGGGGAATGGAGTTTATAATAATATGCAGAGTTGACATATGAAAAAATGTCAAGACTCATGTGATGTAATATTAAAAGCATCAGTTTTAACTATCAAATTTTAGCTTTTTAAAAATATTTTAAATGCTGTGCTTTCCTAACACAAACGTTACTTTAAGAAAAACATGCAATAATTTATCCCTCCTGCCATCAAAGCTCTGATACCTACCAAATTCGTTAAATATAGAAGAAATGGCGTTAAAGTTACGTGGACAGAAATGGCGGCATGTTTTTGAGCTCAGTATTTAAGGTTACCGAGGTTATCATAATTTTACGTTTATTGCTCCACAATGTCGCCAAACAAATTTCTCGCCAAAAAGGACTAATACTAAAGCTGTGCCAAAATATGCAACTTTATTAAGTATTACTGTCAATTAAACCATAGTTCTGCAACAATGAATTTAATATCCACACATATCCAGTATTAAAAAAAATATCACCATAAGCACATGTTGAGTTCAACAACTGCTTGCGTAAATAGAGAGCTTTTTGTCAAATTGAACTCTTTAATTTCTGGTTTCCCAGTTTTACCATCGTTTTCATAGCTATCGTGCATCGATAAAATCAAAATTACCGCTTTTCTTTTCTTGGTAAGGCGATAAAGGTTACTAGTTAGGACATGGATAAAGTAAAGAGTGTGTGCAATGCAATTCTAGTATATTTTTTTTAAAGTGAAAATAGGGCGACGTGTACATGGATATCGTGTATGTGCAATTCTTAACCTTTTCCCGGGGGCTGGGACATATGTGTCCCATACTAAGGATTACAGCAACTGGGGACTCGGGACAGTTTGCCGTTGGTTGCAGGGTAGGAATTCTAGCGCTTGAGGCTTGATGACTATTTTATGATACCTGGAAGAGTGCGTCCTTTTGTGGGATTCCGCTAATGGATTGGGGGAAAATTGTCCGTGTTTTAAACCCACATGGCTTGTTTTCAAATTCGGTATTTCCCAGGAAATATTTTATTGAGAGGAGAAAATAAAAAGAACAGTCTGTTACTTCGATTCTAATGCGTTTTCGTTTTCAGGTTTTTTTAAAGT